GAATAAAAATATTTAATAACGTTGCCCGGAAACTGGATTAACCTTTAATTAGACGAGGTCGCGGCCTAGCGGACTTTGCTTTCCAACTACGCCAAAGGACACTTTACCTCCACCTATGGTCTCGGAAAATGCTATATTATTATACTAGCTTTTGACTGCAACTTCACACGAGTGTATAATTTAATAACCTCTAAACATGAGACCTGCTTTATAATGAAATTTAGATATTTTTTTTACAAAAAACTTTATTACTAAAATCCATCATGCATTTCATTTTTGTTAAAAACAACTAACTTAGTTACATCCCAAAAATTTTTGAATTTTTCAAAACATAATTTATGAGCAATTCTTTTGAAACAACTTTTTAGAGAGTTTGAAAATACAATACAAATTTATTTTACCTTACCTTTTTTTACCTTTACCATTCCCAATTATTTATGAAAGCGACTCTATATTTTACCCCTTAAAATGTAACTTTTTATTCTAAAAGTTAAAATCTAGGCCTAGGTAAATGCTGAACAAAGTTTTCTGTAGTAGGTGCTTTTCACCTGAATAGCTCTACATCTAGAAGCAATTGTGACGCGACATAAATAGCAACATTTTTTTTAAATTAATATTTAGTATGAATATACATAAATTATTATTTACGTTTTAAATTAAAAAAAAAATACGGACAAGTGCGAATCGGACTCGCCCACCGAGGGTCCCGTACAAAATTATCGGAAATCTTTTTAAGTTTATTTTCATCATTTTTTATTCTTTGGCATTTTTCCTTTATTTGTGCTGTAAGACCTAGCTTTTTGCCAAATTTCATGATTCTAGGTCAACGGGAACTACCATATAGGTTTTCGACCCTAAGCCTATAGGGTTCTTCCGATTGACCTAGAATTGTCAATTTTTGTTAAAAGCAAGGTCTTACAGCACAAGTAAAGGGAAAATTCTGAACAATAAAAAAAGTTGAAAATTAAGGTAAATTTTGGTACTTCCAAGTTTTTACGAAAATCTAAATTTCACATTTTTTATCGTGTTCACTGAGGACCTTGATTTTTATACACCTAATAGGGACTATAGACCTCAGTATATGATATATATTTCAACTTGCTACATCCACCCGTTCCTGAGAAAATCGGTAAGACAGACAGACGAACAGACGGACAAGAGAGTGATCTTATAAGGGTTTCTTTTTTTACCTTTTGAGGTACGGAACCCTAAAAAGCAAAAAGTTCTTATCTGTCCTTTAATACGTAATTATGAAAATTAAATGAATTACTTAGTAGGGGTACATTTACTACTGTTTGGTTTTTATTTATAGAACTAGCTGTGCCCGCGCGTGAGAGTGCTTACAGATATCGGCAGACTTACGGTTATTGCGTTTTAGTCGTTTATTTTTTTGAACATTTAATACTTTTGCCTCACTAGAGGCAACAATAGCTAACGTCCTTAATCTATACATATATAATAAAATTGTAACTAAGCCGAATCTGTACATTACATATTTTTTGGAAAATCTTATTGAAATAAACATTATTATCGATACGGAGGCCGAATCTATAATTTTTAGAATTTTTGTCTGTCTGTCTGTCCGTTACCGCATCACGGGAAAACCACTGGAGAGATTTTGATGAAATTTGGTATGATGATAGCTGGTTATCCGGGTCAACATATAGGATACTTTATAAAATGTCTAATTTACGAGAAAAAATACAAAACTATGTAAGAGTATACTACGAGTAATATGTAAAACCTAAGAATTTGGTTTTTGGTCATCTGAACGCGGGCGGAGCCGCGGGCAATGCTAGTCTATAAATATAATAATAGAAATAGTTGGCGAATTACATAATTTTAATCGACTTCAAAATCAAAAGGATTTTTTAAAAATATATTAAATACTAGTTATTGACCGCGTCTAGGCTTGCATATATAGTTTCCTTTTATATCAAGCAGAGATTCATTTCTTCTAACGCGAAAAAAATAGCTTATGCCACTTCCAAACAATTTCTTAACCAATGGCCAATGAAGTGATGTAAAATCGATGAGCCTCTATCCTTTATACCGCGTAAACTGTATTTCTTTACCGAGATAGAAAACTTATACCATTTTTAAGCTAACCCGTTGATCCTTCAAGAGAAACTAAACTCTTTTTCTCAAAATAAAAAATAGCCTATAAAATTATTTACTCTAAATTTTTTATGTACAGCACAGTGAAAGCCACATTAAAATCGGCTTATAGAAATCAGCAGATTTTGACATATAAGTACAAAGGTATTTTAAACGGTTATGTATAAGAAAATCATATGAACGCAATATTAAGTAGACTTTTTATGCCAGATGATTAATTTTATTTGTTAATTGTTTAGATTATGTTTTATGAAAAAAATATATGTATGCATATTACATAATGTATATCGTACAATATCCTTATCCTTTCATGTCATAGGTGAATTTAGTTGAATTTTTGTTGAAGTGGATATTTTTTCTGGTCGTAGACATGAAAAAAGATAAAGTAAAAACAAAATAATATTAAAAACTACTAATATTTTCAAAACTATACCTCGCAAAGGTTTGGTGATTATCCTTTGGTTATCAAACTTTTAATGACTTTTTGTCATCTAAAAATTAACAATATTTTAGATTTTTAATAGTTCATACTATGTTTATATGATAAATGAGTAATGAATGTTCGTATTTCGTATTCATACAATAAAAAACTGAATAAAACTTTATTTACCTTTGTCGTTTCTGTCGTATCCGGTGAATTCGCTCGTGTAAGTGTTAAAGTTGAAGACTTTTCTTTTTAAATAAAATTATCTTTTCGGATTTTTTCGCGGATTTATTAGGATTTTTGGTTCTTTTTCTAAGAAAAATATAATGTAGGTAAAAATTATATAAAATATAACAAAAAGAAAAGAAAATTAATAAACAAAAGCATACGATTAAAGAAACATGAAGAATAATACTTTCTTAGATTTACGCGAATGTTTGACATTTTTAAATAAAACTATCTTTTCGGATTATTTCGCGGATTTATTTTGATTTTTGGTTCCCGACGTTTCGAATGCTTTACAGCATCCATGGTCACGGGAGAGACTGAGGTGTTACATGTCTTAAAGATATAGTTGTTACAGACAGCCTACCCACAATTAACAAAATGAAAATTGCACCAATTACATTACAATATTTTTAACTTTAAACATTTTTTATAATTTTAATTATAATTGAATATGGAAAATTATTTATTTAATTTTTGCTATTATTTTTATAATTATTACAATTTTAAAAATATTAATTAGTAATCTATATTTAGTGTTGCCATTATTATATTTATAACCATAAATAAAAAATATAAAAATATAGTATTAATTATTAAAGCCATATAATTGTTCTATGTGTAATTTAAAAAGTTAAAATTAATTACGGATAATCATTTTAATTTAGTTTGCTATTATTTAAAAACAACTTACTAAGCAACACTATTAATATATACTTTTACAAATGATCAAATGTAGATCAAAATGACAGCTTATCAGATTAATATTTTTCATTTGTAAAAGTATATATTAATAGTGTTGCTTAGTAAGTTGTTTTTAAATAATAGCAAACTAAATTAAAATGATTATCCGTAATTAATTTTAACTTTTTAAATTACACATAGAACAATTATATGGCTTTAATAATTAATACTATATTTTTATATTTTTTATTTATGGTTATAAATATAATAATGGCAACACTAAATATAGATTACTAATTAATATTTTTAAAATTGTAATAATTATAAAAATAATAGCAAAAATTAAATAAATAATTTTCCATATTCAATTATAATTAAAATTATAAAAAATGTTTAAAGTTAAAAATATTGTAATGTAATTGGTGCAATTTTCATTTTGTTAATTGTGGGTAGGCTGTCTGTAACAACTATATCTTTAAGACATGTAACACCTCAGTCTCTCCCGTGACCATGGATGCTGTAAAGCATTCGAAACGTCGGGAACCAAAAATCAAAATAAATCCGCGAAATAATCCGAAAAGATAGTTTTATTTAAAAAAACATGAAGAATTTTATTTTATTACGCCCATACGTTTTTTACTTTTTCTCCATCCAATATAAATACATTTCGAATTTTCTTGTGTCTCTGTAGTTTTTATGGCTTTGTTAGCTGTCTTTTAAGATAAAAAATATTTATTAATTTTATAAATCACACCGTTCACAATAAATAAACTAAACAGAAAATGGTAACAAGAAACAATCTTCCCAACCTCCATCTTACTTTTACTGTTCAGCACTATTTTAATTTTGAATTTTTTCGCCATCTTATTTATCCCGTGTTATTCAGTAAATTTTTGTCATTTTTAACTATATCATAATCACCATACGCAAACGACTCCATTCCATGGCCCGTACTCGTTCTGATGAATATTTAAAACTATAAAAATATTATGTTCGTCCTCATTTCATCATCCACGTATATACCTACATTGTAAAGTTCAACTAATAATAACCAATATTATGAATCGCCCCTTCTTGCTTATTTATTTCTATATAGTAGTTACGTATTTAAATAACTTAGTGTTATTTAGAATATTTTAATATTCAACCTTCAAAACTCCAAAAAAATTAACAAACACTCAACGTCACTATTTGCTAATTAATACTTTGCCTATTTTACTCAGATTTAAGTTCTTGGATTCGAGATCAGATTTAAATGAGAAACATAATTGGATTTTTGTATTAAAATATTTTCAGTATCTGCCTCAAATTGGAAAGTTAGTAGTTTGTCACACCAATTAGTCATCGGTACAGTCGAGTTAGACTGGGGATATAAAGACAACGCATTTGAGTTAAAATTCCGACCCATACATTTACGCACACGCGTAAATTTTAGTAATAAATATACTTACGTCCTTTGAGTCCTTAATTGTAAATCATTGTCATTAAAATCAATAGAATTCATTAAATCATTTGATCTTTTTCGCTTATTTGTTGTTGTTATATATCAAACCTCTCCTAAGTTACCTCTTTTAAAATTTCTTTTTCTCTTTTTCTTTAAATATTCAGAAGTTACTGGGGACTTAACATTTAATATTATAATAGTTGCATCTTTCACATCTTTGTCATTTTCATTATTATATTTCTCAATCTGACTATTTTCAGTCGAAGGCAGTTCTGAACTATCAAAACTAAGAGGATTTGTAGTTTCCTTAGAATAACTGCTTAAGGTTTTAGGCGATTCATAAAAGTCTAATTTATTAAAAACGTCCTTCCCCTTTGTTGTGGCCATTTTTATATTTGTTTTTTTAGTTTTCATGTTTCTTTTTATTTTTCTCGGACTTCCAATTTCTTCAGTTACAAGAGCTTGTTCGTTTTTGATAAAATTTGTTATATTTTGGTTTATCATGGGTATATTTTTATCTAAATATTGATATTTCTCTTTTGGGTACAACATAAATAATTTTTTGAAGTATTTTCTAATTTTGTATTGTGTTTTTTTGCTACCAGGATCATAATATAACACCATGGTAGTACTGGTCATATTTTCAAGATCTCTAATAGTATAATCAGTAGTTTTCGTATTATTTTTTTTACAAATAAGATTTATTTTTATGGTGTCAAGAGTATACATACTTTTCATATCAATTTGTTTTATATCGTCATGCAACAACGACTTCTTATGTTTTCTTCCTAAACACGTTTTTATTACATTTAAACATTTTTTACCTGATAAATAAACATTCTCGTCTACGATGTTATGTAATTTGTAACGTTGTCTAAATTGTTTACAAGATCATTAATTTTATTTAGAAATTCATTACTAAAATTGCTGTCATTCAAACTTCATTTATCAATATTTGTTGAAATCATTTGGCATGTACAACTTTGGCATTTACCTTTCACTCTCTTATAGTAATTATTTAAAATTGTATCAAATTTATGTACAGTGTCAATCATTTTTTTTTTCTACCACTTGGATTCATCCAAAAAAATATTTTTATTTCCGTGCAATGGTCAGTCGTGTACTTAGCTAAATTGTCAAATTCAAACATTATTTCCGATATAACTGCATCACATGCTTTACACGGCTTACACATTGTTTTATTAGGTTCACAATGACAATTACATACCCTATCATGACCAAAGAACTTATTTATACTGTTTAAATGAAAACTTCTTTTTATGTTTTGTTTTACACATGAGCTTTGACTGTTGGTAATATTTATACATTTTACTTCTTCTTTGTCTTTAACGTTTGTAGAACGTTTGATCTTATTATCATAAGGTGAAGAACTAAATATTTCTTTTAAATGGTTATTCACAGTTGTTATTAATTCAGTCGTTATTTGTGACACCGTAGACTGAGCTGTTGTTCTTATTATTTATTCTTCTTATTCTTATTAGTTTTGCCTGAATTAAAGATTATTATTATTATTATTAAATTATAATCCTTTAAAGAGTATTATATATTAAAACAATTAGGTTTTAATATAAAATTTCCCTTCGGAATCGTCAGATTAGTATTCTCTACCAATATATATAAGCCGGGTGATATAACATTTTGTGAAATTGTTGTCGGAGTATTAGTGGTATTTGCAAATGAATATATTTGGTATTCTAAATCCACTGGAGTCGACATTATAGCAGAAAATATTTTTCGAACTCTCGTTGGCTCTAAAGACCTTTTGTTATCCGTTAAATTGATTGGATGGAATTGAAATATGAACTTGAATTGCGTTTGGTGCCCGATAATCTTTTTTTAGTGGTTTATATAAAGTATTTTTATTATTATTTAAATTCATAGATAATTTTTCTCCAAATGATTGTGTTCCTTTTAATAAATCTATGACTTCTAAAGCGGCAACATGTTTTGCTGTGAAAAACTGGCTAGCTTCACGCTTATGATGATCTTCTTTAACATCAGTACTAAATTTATGAGTAATCATAGTACCAATGTGCGTCTATTGAGTAGTAAATATAAAATAACATATAACAACACAACAATATGTGTATCATAAATTGTTTTATCGTCATGCGCAACTATATTTCAAAACATGAACAACTGATCAGAAATTATGGAGATTGGACCCACGATCAGTAGCACAATCAGAGCAGCACAGTACATAATGATGCTCTCTACTATGGTCTAAAATATAAACACTATTTAATAATATAAAAATATTTTCATTTTAACTTACTTCATCTAATTTAGCTGGATAATTATTTTTCTCTGTTGATATTTTTCGTTATCTCCATTTGAGATTACTTAATTTTCTACTGATTCACAATTCACTTCAGGTTTGTCTAGCAAATAACGGTAAGTCATATGAACTTTCTAGTTCGAGTCAATATTTTTTCATTATTTATTATTTTTTATTTAAAACACATTTTTAAGATACATTTGTTAATATGGAGCCAAATTATATTTAGCTATATAATATACTCAAAATGTATTTTGAAATCTTTGCTATACCGTTTTGATACCGTTGATTTCTTTTCAGCCGCTTGCCAACTATTTTATCTTCCATTAGAGAAATTCTAAATCTATCAACATTTATACCTATTAATATTAAAATATTAATTAAATTGAAAAATAAATAGATCAATTTTATAGCTAGTTTAAAAAATCATTAAGTTCACTTACTCATTTAGATTTTTATATGCAGCATCCATGCCATCTGCTAGTAAATGTTGTTATTAAATTAATATTTTTAAATTTATTCTATAAAATAGCGAACTGCAAGTAAATAATTACTTACATTTAAACATATTATCATCCTGAATTTTGCTTGGACTATGAAAAATCATATCATATTTATAATTATGGCCGCTTAGTCTTTTTGGAATTCTCATATCTTTTGTAGTCTTTGTACAGTCTTGATTATATAAGTAATGAATTGCATTCATATGTTTAAGCCGAAATGGATCTCTGTCAATAATTTTATCATTCATTTCTTTATATTTTTGATCAACTTTTCTTTTTTCTTAACATTTTCAATATCATAATCCGTGAACTTAACATTAGTATCAAGTTTCAGATCTTTTCCTTTTTTTGATTTGTATCCTTCTAGTAAAAATGTCTTGTTTAATGATTTTGGAACGTACTTTTTATTTAACTTCCATTTATCAGTAATACTAGCACTAAACGGAACTGGATGTCTTAAAGGAGCCGTTACTGATTCAACATCAATTTCATGGTTTTTTAAAAAAATATTAAAATCGTCTATTTTCATAGGTAAAGGAGTCATAAAATATTGCTTAGGCTGTTGCTGTGCTGCGTTGAAATTCTCTAAAAAAGTTTTCTAAAAGAAATTTTGAATAGATATCATTAATACGATAATAATATGAAAAAAGAGATGTATTATATTTCACATAATATGGCTACTTACATTACTGTTATAATTTTTGTTAAAAACTGTGAACAAGGTAAAAAATATTTTAAAAATATTTTATTAGAAAACAAATTGGAAAGTTATTACTATAATCATATAAATAAAAACCCGACTGCATAAAAGCTAACTAAAAAAAAGAAACCAAGTTGACGAAGGAATATAGTATTATGCAGACGGAGACACACATGTTTCATCATTGCCGCGAGATGTACATAACTGTGTATGTCTCCGACTGCATGACAACTTGTTTACATATTTTTAGTTAGGTTTTATGCAATCGGGTTATTTATTTTTATAATATATTTTTTATTTCCAGCTTTTTGGTTTTTTTTCTCGTTCGTTTTCTGCCAATTAGACATTTGAAGTAATATTTAACAATTTTTTATCCTAAATTACTTTAAACATATAAGTTGTATATATTATTGTGATTGCCTCTTAAAAACCTCTATTTTGATAATTCCATTGACTTGGAAGAATTTTTTTAAGACACAAATTTACTCCAGAAATCCGCCATTTACATTTTTAACTATTTTTGTATAGCCATATGACACTTGCGTTATTGAGACGAATCTAACGACGAACATACACATACACACACACGCACACACACATACACACACACATACACACTCTCTCACACACACACTCTCTCACACACACACACACACACACATCGTTATTTTGAAACAATTATTAGTACAATATGTTGTAATAATTACCACTATCTCCATTAGAACTTGCGTCATTATTTTCATATAGAGTATTCCCCAATTCTAGTGGTGGTTTACATGTTAACTTTTTACTTCCAACAAAGTTGTAATCATTACTTAAAATGGTATTACTTGATTTTTTATAATTATTTTTAAAATGCATATCATTCTCATCAAGCTTATGCATAAACCCTATGGTTATCAAATTATTATGGTACGCTTCTGTCACCCTATCTGCTAAATCATTGTCTTTTAGTGGATTTGATTCCACTTTTATATTAAATAAGGGATCACTTTTTTTAAACATTATATTATCCACATGATTATTTAAATTCATGTAATTTGGCTGTTGAATTTTAGGCGATGTTAATTTAATTCGATAGTTTACTGTTGATATTGTCATCATTAATATTTTTATATATCGTTGAAAATGTAACGGGGCCTTTATAATTTTCTCGGCTTAAATGTGTTTTTAAATCCACATTTATTACATCGTCATTAGTAATTTGAATATTTCGATTGTTATCACTTTCATAGGATATAGGAGTAGTCAGTTTAAATGGATGTAGTTGATTTTGTTTACCTAAAAGCAAAAATTTGAACAAATACATAATTTTAAATAATAATTTTCTATCAAAACAATATAATAGATTACCGACAACTATTCGAATTCGCACAAATGTGCAAACAGATATTTTTTCATAAGCTGCGTAATGTTTGGTTATGATCTACTTCACTTTTACACAAATTTTAAAAGTTTACTTTATTATAAAATTCTTATAATATACTCGTACAAATGTAAAACCTACCAGTTGATATCCAAAAACTTCTTTGTGCACAATCTACTATTGGTTTTTGTTGGTAATCTGGTTTATTTTGAAAAGGTAATTCTTGAGAATTGTCTTTAGTATATTTTAGAGAATTCTCATTTATTTTATCGTATTTTAAGTCTAATACAGGAAAAGGAAATTCAAAATTTGCCGAAATATTTGGAACTTGTTTCATCATCTCATGGACGTTGTAAAGCTTTTTTTATATTAAAGTGATCATAAGGTTGAGGGGATGATATTATTTCATAATCGAACACTTTTTCTTGCCGTGTGCGAGAATATTTAGGTTGATATTTTTAAAATATCCTTTATTCCTTTATTAATATCGAATCGTTGAACTCGAAAGTGATCTTGACGTTTTTGTTTTGGTTTACGGTGAAATATTTGAAACGTACGTATACGTTTTTATCTTTCTTTTTTTGTAACTTTACAATTACCGTTGACCTGGTATGTAATGTTGTATCTTCATTAATAGGCGAATTAAATTTATTATTAGAAAGCACAAATGAATTTTGGTATTTATGTCTTATTTCATTTAAATCCTCTTTTTTGTTTATATATCTTTTATGTAAAAATGTATTATTTGTTAGTAAAAAGTTATTATCCTTTTGTAAATTGTTATTTTTGCATGTCACAGTCTGTGTTGTGTGAAACTGTTTAGGCGGATCAGTATCTAAAAATAAGAAAAAGTGTTTTTTGAACCACGAATCTTCACTCTTTGTTGATACATCTTGATCTTCTAATGTCTCAGATTCAACAAAATATCTTTTGTATCTTCTTGCTGGTAACTGAGGAATTTTTGTTTAAAATAAATTTTCCTATATCATCTACTTTATGATGTTTATGTGCTTGATACCGAATAAGATTTGAAAATTTGTTATCATCTTGTTCTTTTTGATAATTTAAATAATATTTATAGCCATTGACATAATCATTATATGATAACTTATTACTCAGCCCTTCGAAACTTGTATCTTCGGTAGTTGCATCAGACTGATCATTTTGTTCATATCTATTTGTTGTTATTGTTTCAAGAAAAACTATTTTATTTTCTTTATCTAAATTTGTATTCGGATATTCTAGTATATCAAATATCTCTTTATTATTTGTTCCTATTATTTTGATTGTGCCTAGATGATCTTTCCACCTTCTTCACAGATTTTTTTTTAGTTGTCAACGTATTTATTTCGCTATTTTCTTTACCTTTCGATAATAGTTGTTCAAAAAAAGTGAGCATTGAAAAGTCGTCACCTGAAATAGGTATTGTATAATTAGAAGGGGAGCTACTTTCGTTAATAGTTTGCAGAGGTGTATACTTCGTGGTTCTGCGACTGTCGCGTGAATTTGCTACAGTAAATACTACTGTAGAAGGGTGTTTTTGGGTAGACTTGGTAGGTTGTATATGCTTGAGGTCTTTATTGGCAGTTTTGGTTGAATTACAATTTTTTTTGGTTATTTCTACATCTTTTTGTTTTGTTGCCTCTTTGACCTTTTTCATTTCTTTGTTATAGTCATGAGATATTTTATTTTTAACTTTGTTAAATACATTTTTAATTTTCTTTTGTAATTTATTTTCTATATTTTGAGCCCAATGTTGAACACTCTTCTTTTATAGATCTCTGAAAGAGATGATTTAGTGGTTTCTTTTTGGTTTTCTTAATACTTCTAGTCGTGGTATACTTGTTTTCATTTGAATATGCTTTTAAATCCAATATCGACGAATATGTTGTCTCAATAATGGTATTAGTAATAACATTAGCTAGAGAGGGTTCATGTCCTGCAATCTTTTGTATTTCTCTATGCTTGATTTCATTTAAAACTGCTTCAATTTCAGCTGTGCTGAGAATTCGGTTAGCATCATTAGTTGACCTCGGGGACGATAAGTCAAAAAAGTTATTGGAATTTTCTAGAATGCTAAAATCTGGCAGTGTAGGTGTAGTACTTATTAATTCAATATAATTAAAGTCTTTTTTTAATTTATCTGTTTCAATAGATTTAAAAATGTCTCTAGTATTATTTGTAACTTCTTTATAGGCTGTAAAAATATCACAATATTTTCCATAGCATTTAGTCGGTTCGTATTTATCAAAATCATTGAAATTTGTTTTCTTACAAGCTATCTTTCTTCTAAATTTAAGTTTATTTTTGTTTACTCGGATAGGTAGATTTTTGATCTCATATCTGTCTGCGTGTTTTCCATCACTTTCTAAATTATTATAATCTTGATTTCTTTTCATGAGATCTATATTATGAGGCATGGATACATTATTTCCGGCTATAAAGTTATTTGTCATACTTTTAAATATAGGGCGAGCGTTGAGGAATGCTATAAATACAAATATCCTGAAATAGATAGAAAAGTTATTCAATTTGAGATTAATACACATTTTCTAGTTAACAGAAAAGTTTATATTCTTTTAATTCTTTAAAGAAAATTCATTAAAAATTAGCAACTACGGAAAAAGACTCATAGCAATAAACATGTATATACAATAGTTGTTTTATATGATAAAAACTTATTAATCGATTCCCCTAAAAATAATAAACTACTAACAAGTAAGAATAATTTTGTTTTACCGTATCGAAGTTCATTTAATTTAAATAACCTAGAATTTGTAGATCCATATCTGCAATTACAAAAATACTACCTGTTATAGTTTCACAGGTTTTACTACAAATAATAATATATTTGAAACGTACCATAAAAAATCTAAAAATAACATTACTTCATTATATTAAAACGATATTCAATAAGTCATAATGTATTTTATAAAATTTAACGACGTCTGTGACAGTAACTATATTATTTTCTGTCATTACACTATTTTTATGACACATATGTAATTCCATAAACTATGGAGACTAAAAAGTTTTAGTCATGACATATCCAAACTTCATGGTTTTAGACAAGTTCACACCTACTTTTCTAGCACTCTAGTTTTATTAAATAATCACAATATTCAGATAGATATCTGAAATTATGAGAAACCTCGTGATGAAAACTTTTGCGTGAAATTGAAGTGAATTAAAGATAAAGATTTTTTTAATAGTATGTGAGTATTATGATTATACCATTTCATCGCTAAGAAACAGTTCTAGGTGCTTATTATGTAGATGCATTACCAAGAACTTGTCAGAATAAAATTATTTCTTTTCGTCTTGGTGCTGTTTAAAAAATTTGAAGGTATAAGATTTTTTTAATTTGGGTGTCGACCAAATTTTAATACTCTTAGCATGTTTATCCCAAAACAACATAAATGTTGAGATTGTCTGTTACATAACTACTTAGGTTACGCCTAAAATAACACTTTCGTAAACTATGTACTGACTTGATGCCTCAGGGACACTTGGAGGTTCTACAGATCAAACTTTTACATTAAAAACGTGTACTCGGAGTTTGTATCATAAATTAAAACAGGTGACGAAGAGAACGAGAATTAATCACATAAATGTGCACCGTAATAATCATTTTTGTAATTATGCCGTTTGTAGGATACCCTTATTAAGTACAAAGTTAACTATAACAATATATTTTGATGTAATATGAAGTACCTATTTCACACAATATATGTGAAAGGCTTTTTTAATTTATGAAATAGTAAAATTAAAGATAATATAAAATATGCACAACGAAATAGATATTTAAGCATATTTTAAAATGTAAGCCATTTTACATACAGTTGTACAAATTTTCAGTTTTTCAGTGCTCGGGAAAATTAAACACGATTTCACCATCCAACTCGGCCACTTAAGCACTTAAAACGTCGCTGAGATGAATGGTTCAACTTTAGCGTTCAAAAGTTAAGAGGCAAAGAATAAGTCTACAATTTTATCTGAAAAGCTGGAGGGTGTCCTATTACAATTACATTTACCAAGCGATGAGTTTTCTCTAATATGTAATTATAGTTGTTGATATAATTTATATATTTGTCGTATTATTTTTTATTATTTATGATTTTTAAAGAAATTTTCATTAATATTTCCCATTCTTTATTAATAATTCGAGTCAAAATGAGATTCTTTATTTTTGCGTAGAATAAGTACTCATTATTAAACTTTTACAATTGCTTGTTTTGTATAGTACAATTTGTTTTTAATTTAATAATATAATCAATATCACCTATTTTATATATAAATAGAATTCATTATATAGAATAATTCTATACCGAGACCGAAAACCACTTATTATTTAATTTACAAGTTAAAGGTGGGCCTTTTAAACTTGAAAGGAAAAATGGATTATATAAAAGCACAGCGCTCTCAAAGCTACGTTTTGAAGGCTTTTAACGTTACTGTACACACTTAACTAAAAATATCATTGAGAAAAGATATCATAATGTGTTTATTTTAAATAGGAAAATGAAGTAAACAGAAATTTTGGTTTGAGTAATATTTATTTTATATGAATACAAAATGTAATGATACAATTTACACAATACATATCAGTCTACAAATTTATATATATAATACAGTCAATAAATTTAAAAGTTTGTAAGTTTATTTATGTAGTGTGTATGTTTTACTCGTTAACACTAAAATGACTGGCCGGATTTCGACGAAATTAAGCACACAGATACACTATGCCTACTACAGATACACTAGCCCTAGAGTCAGTAGCGGATTTAGGCCTAGACCCGTGAGGCCCGGGCCTGGGGTTAATACGTAGCAAATGTTGAGGGACGCCAAAATTCTTAAGACGACTAAAATTAAAAATCGATTAGGTTTTCTGTAAGCAGTAAAACCAAATTTTTAAGTTTATTTTCTTGCGCTCTTAAAATCTAAACATAGTACTTACGATTTCAAGGGTTGAATTTATTTGTTAAAATAATTAATCTATATATACTGTTACGAAAGAAAAAGAGCGCCATATCGACTTGGGTTTAGGGCGCCATCAAACCTGAATCTACTACTGCCTAGAGTAATACATGTTACCCACAAAGTTAGGCACCAAGGTTAAGAACGCATCCCAGCGAAGCAATTGTAAGCCACTAGTTAAAACATAAATATAATTAGAATTATGTTATCTGTGGTATTTAGGTTTGTAACAAACAGCTACGAGTAACTACTTCATACTTGAACCGAAATAAGCGATATAGTTTCTACAAAAGTCGTTTACGATGCTGACTATTCTAAAGCTATTTTAAATTAAAAATTCAGAGCCAATGTTATATCTAATAATTACATAATTATAATTTAAGTTATTTACATAGTACCTATGTACTTCGTATTTTTAGTTTTTTTTTTAATATTACATAATTTATATTATATTTCCATTTTTTAAATAACATGTTTTTTTATAACTAAATTTTCTATATCTTCTATATGAATAGGAATGAATGTTCGTATGTATGTCCTCTATGCATTCCTAAACATTCATACGATTGTGATGAAACTTTTATGCGTTCCTAAATTCAAGCTTAAGGACACATTCGAGCGAAGCAACATATAAACTTTCATCCCCACTTTCGCCACCTGACAGGATGATTTCCAAAATAAAAAATACCCTATGTTCTTTACAGTGTCTCAAACTATCTTCTTACCAAATTTTATTTAAATTGGTGTAGTAGATACCCCTACAACCTCACAAACTCACAAACTTTACCTCTTTTATTATAATATTAGTATAGAATATAAAACTTAAAATAATTAACGATATCACTCATACGAAAATACGAATATGTTGCCGCCAATTGAATCACAGAAAGCGTGAAATAAACAAAAAAAAACATAAAAACAACAGTGAAAATAAACATTGAAATTTTTAGTTGAATGTAGTTTTGTGAAATAAAATTCATACCAAAGAGGAAATAGTGAAAGGAAATGGCATCAAACATATTTAGCGTCACATCCTTCCGTTTCTATAAAAGCTTAGCCCATTGTTATGTTGATATTTATTATTATTGATACCTTTATATTTTATTTAATACTAGCAACTCAACCTCGCTTTGCTCGGGTTCGTCCCTAAATACATACGTTTAAATGGATATAAATAGTTATTAGTATTATATTATAGATGTTTTATTAGTTATTCTATTATTTGAGTCTAAAACAATTCCATCACATTAAAAATCATAAAAACGGAGCGTAAAAAAGCACATTTGCAGGCCGACGAGGTGAGGTTGATCGGAATCGAGATCAAGTCCCGGAACCGATGGATCTCATTCTGGATTCCACTGATGCTTTCCATCAGGCGTCATGGAGTCATCTTGTCGAGCGACAATAAAAAAAAAAAAAAATCGATTCAGCTGTTCTTGAGTTACAAATTTTGTAACTAACCTGACTTTGTTTTATATAAATAATACATATATAATAATGACTATTTTGAATAATTAATATAAATTGAAATTTAGGTACCTGTCGTTACAAGCTGTAAAAATTTTTTTTATTATTCTCATACTATTTACTTATTTTATATAACTTACACATGAAAATATAATAAATATTTTCATATCATTTCTACAATATATTCTGAAATAATGAATAATTCTCATCAACAGATGCTTTCGAGTGAAACTCACGAGTTAAAATACGGCTCGTACAATTTTTTCCTTTACAGTAGCTAGCTCGGTAACATTTTAATGTTTACTTCTTCGATTATACTCTATACAGATAAATAAAATAGAAGTGTCTGTTTGTTATGTCGAAATAACAGCTTTTTACTAATGCATATGGAATTGTATACGGTATTTATAAAAAAACCCAACTTTTAAATTTTTTTGACTGACTGTCGGTCTGTTTGTTCCGTCTAATCTCTGAAACGGCTGGGCCGATGTTGACGGGACTTTCACTGGTTGATGTTATAAAGAGTAACTTAGACTACTACTACTACTACTTTTATTTCAGTAAAAGTATTAGGGTTCCGCTCAAAAAAACATACCTAATAATGATAAAATAAATTTAATATTGCTGCTCTTAAATTGTGAGGTATATTGTAAAATATATATAATTATATAAAAATACTTGGCAAGAATAATTTTAACATAATAGAAGCAAATCGTATCATTTTATTATATAGGTTTGTAACCCCAAGCAATGGTAAAGGGTAATAGAACGGAGGCTGAACGAGGAGTGTTACATTTAATTCGTACTTGAACAATACGGCAGGCTTACGAAAATGGCGTGAACGCCGCTGCAAGTGTAATTGTTTATAAAGTCGGAAGAGCTGCTAAATGTCTTTGTAATGTTAAACAACATGAAATAAAAACATTACCTAAATATGTAGATTATTTTATGGACATAGATAGCACACAAAGAGAGGAATTCAAAGTAATAAATCTCAAAATATGATACACAT